AACAAGGGCTGGACCAGATGACCTCCAGCCTCAGTTACTCTAATTCTGACTCAGAAGACCAGCTTCCTTCCCTTTGTTTTCCTTCAAAGCATGGCTCGCTGGATGCCATGTGCTTCTGAAGAAAGGCCTCACTCTAGGCATGAGTTCTTACGGGGAATTAACTTGTACAGAGCATGGTAAGATAACAGTGACTTTCCGTAGCAGGTACTGTAGTATCTCAAAGTGTTCTGGAGACAAAAAGCCCCACCCACAGGTATCTTCTGGCCTCTGTGCTCAGTGGCAGAACTAGACAAACACTGCAGGTCTCTGTCTTCTGCGAAGCTGCTAAAGGTGTTACTTCCAAGCAGTAAGAGAGTTAAATTTACTCCAGAGAATAAATTTAACATCCTTGGGAGATGTGTCCAGGAGAAGCTGGCTTTTGTCCTATATCATCTGCCTGTCATTGAGGCCTGTGCTCCTGATGGTTCCTCTCTGCTGTTCACTGAGTCACTGGTCAATCTGGTACTGTTCTCCTCTGAGAGTGCCCAGAGTCTCTCCCCATCTCCATCCCCCTGCTAGGCAGAGCTAGCGCAGCTGGTTAGGACTGAGGGGAACATCTGCATGCTGATAGCTGCAGCTGTGAAGAGGAGAGTGTCTGAATGAAGAGTTGGGCAGTGGTACAGGGGAGAGCGGCCAGGACAGTCCCTGCCCCTTTGGTGCAGCAGCAGGGCCAGCAGCTCCCACCTCTGGCACGGTGGGTCCCTGGGTTGGCCACAGCTGGGGCACAGCAGGATTTTGGCTGTTGAAGTGGCACAGCCAGTTCTGTTATACTGCAGCAGGGGCAGAGATGTATTGTTGGGGCTAAAAATAGACACATACTTTCTGCTACTATATTTTTTTAGCTGTTTCACAGACTCTTTAAAAAGCTTTTGCCTACCTTAGAAACCAGAAGATTTTCCATCAAGCAAGAAGTGCTCTGTCAAGCAAGAAGTGGTCTGTCAATTAGCTGCTTCCTTGCCTTGATAACTGTAGGAAAGGCCATCCAGCATACATGGCCTCTTTTCTCTGGCTTTTGGATGCCTTGAACAATCCTAGGGTTTGTTCAGTGAGCACAAGAGCCTCCGAGGTTTGTTTGAGGTTAGAGAATCTGCTGTATGTTTAATTCACTTTGTCTCTTTTTACCTAGAATCTTCTACGTGTCTCATGATTCTCAAGACCTGAAAATTTTTAGCTACATTGCAAGGGACGGTGCTAACAACTCCTTCAGGTGCAATGTCTTCAAATCTAAAAAGAAGGTAGGATGCTCCCGGGGCCATGGCCAGGTCCTCACAATGGCGAGACATTGCAGGAGGATCCTCGCACCTTGCACTATAGAAGGAAGCACAGTTCACAGTTAGTGAGTCCAGCTCCCTGGGGGAGAGGCTGAGGCAGCGCTAATGCTAGATGTCCCTGAAAACACGTGTCTGGGACCTCTCCCCTGCCTGGCCCAGCTGCCAGGGGACCAGTGCAGCCACTTTACCTCAGACCACACAGAGAGAAGAGCTCTTATCTCCAGGAGCAGACCACTGGGGATGCTGCATGGCTGCAGTGTCCATATTAAAGCCAAATGCTGGCCCTGCTCTCTTGCCAGCGGTGGACAGTGCTGGAGCCTCCCTGGGCTGAGGATGAGGGGTAGCAACTGCACTGGGAAGAGGTTGCACTGAGCTCTGATCCGTGCTGAGACATATGCATCTCAGGGGCAGCCCCAGGCCACCCTGGGGTAGAAAGAGGGGGGAAGGATCCATCTTCTCCCAGCAGAGGCAGGAAGCAGGAGGTGCCTCCTTTCACCCTGGGTGGGAATGTCTCTGTCTCCAGGGCTCTGACTTGCCTTTGGATTTTGCTCTGCAGAGCCAGGCCATGCGGGTGGTGCGCACAGTGGGCCAGGCCTTCGAAGTGTGCCACAAGCTGAGCCTGCAGCACGCTCTGCAGAACGCCGACGGTCAGGCGGATGGCGCCAGTGACAAGTCTGTGGAGGAGCAGCCACTAGAAGGTGACTTGTAGCTCCCCGTGGGGCTTGGGCAGATCCCTCCTTCAACAGCAACGGCGGAGAGGCTTGGGGATGGGGAAGTGCCAGAGTCACTTGTCCTTTGTGGGCCAGCTCTGGTGACAGCAAAAGCTTCATGTCCCTTCAGACTGAGGGCACAGGAAATGCCTGCCTTGCAGAGCCGTGCACGTCCTCTCCAGCCTTTCTGCACGGGGCCTTCCTATCCCAGGCACCACGAGCATGGGCTAAGAGTCTTTTCCCAGCAGGCTGATGGCCTGCACGCACAAGCTCTTTGACTAGCGTGCATCTTTGCTCCTGCCCCCTGCAGCACACAGAGACTTGAAAAAGTCTTGGCTATTCTTCCTAAACCTTCATCTGTGCTGCCAGCCCTGCTCAGAGCCCCGGTTGGTTGCTACGATCCTGCAGTGTTTGGGGACTTTGGTTTATTTTATCCATCTCATTTGAAGTTCACCAGATGAAGGGCTCCAAGATCACAGATGTGGACGAGGTGGGCATCGACACTGATGGCATCTGTGTGTCAGAGAGGGGGCCCGGAGAGCTGCCTACTGCCAGGTCTGAGCTCAGCATGCTGAAGCCTGGACAGGTCTCAAAAGACAAGAGCTGCCAGGTAATAGTGTGTGGGGGCCAGGCTGAAGGGATGGTTCATGCACCCTGCCACTGCTGGGGTCCATCTGCTCAGGGTCATTGTTTTACAGCTTTATGGAGAAGGGCTTTCACGGATACCCCACTGCAGACACCTCCCTTGCTGGTGCACAGCACTTGCTGTCCCAGCCCTGGGAGAGCTCTGCAGCCAGGCCAGGCAAATAACACTTGTCCAGCCTCCCTCCGCTCCAGCCCATACTGCAATTCAGGCTTGTAGGACAAAGCCACCCAGGGCTGAGTCACCACGGTTGGCAAAGCACCCTGAGGTCCTCAGGCAGCCCCTGCTGCAGGATTTGTTAGTAAGCATCCAGTTTACCTGTGGCTAAGTTGCATCCGCCAGCTGGGACATGGAGAGAAGCGAGAGCAAGGAGTGGGGCCACAGCACCCAGCTGGAAACCAGGCAGAATCCACTGGTGCAGGGAAGTGGGGGCCAGAGCACGGAGGGGTTTGGCTTTGTGCGTTTAGAGAGAGCAACCACGCAGCTTTAGAAGGGAGAAATAAAGCAGGGAAACCCCTTTCCTTCCCGCAGCACCCAGATAACAGGCGGAAACTAAGAGGTGTCTCTGGTGAGGAGATCGTTTCCCTGTTGCGCAGGCTGGATTTCTGTGCCTCTAGTGCTGGTCTCTAGCGGTCACTTGTCTGACTCGCTCTGGCAGCAGCCCCACTCCTTCCCTCCCCCAGGGAACTGCGTCCCACGGGGCCTAGAGGCAGCCCTGTCACTGCAGCATAAGCACCAAGGGTGAATTCAGTGCTAGCGCTGGTAGCACCTTCATGGAAAGCTGTTCTGCAGATCTGTTCCAGTGAGCGTTTCCTGGCTGCTTTAATGGAATCATTTCAGTTTAAACAATTGTATCGCTTGCAGAGCATGGCTGAAAACCGCTCCAATGAAATGTATTAAATTGGATTTATTTCTGTGGCTCATAAGGCAGGGATTTCCTGTGATTTTCCTTTTAGATGCTGATCTGCCCACTAACCTGTCACTAAATAGGCAGAGGGCAGGGGAGCAAGGAGAGCTAGTGGCCTTGGTGCCAAGCTCCCCCACCGGGCACTCTGCACAGTCACCTTGTAAAAGCACCATCTTAAAACATCCCTGACTGCCGAGGTGGCTGGCTGCACTCCCCCCCGGGCAAATGGGGTGCTCTGCTCCATGCCTTTTGCTGTGATCCCTGGAGCTACGGAGGGCCCAATGAGCTACACGCGGGCCACCACGCTGTCCCTGTAGCGTGTGACATGGCTGCAAGCTCGCCCGACTGTGTGTGAGCACCGGTGCGGCTCTGCGGAGTGGCAGCCCAGCCTGGCAGCAGGTTAACACCTGGGTGAACGCTCTGGTGAACAGCTTTAGCCCGTCTCTGCTGTTTTCCTTTCTGGCTCAGCCCTGAGAGATAAACCTGGTGCTTGTGGATTTTTTTTTTCCTTCAGGTTAATGAGTGGCTTTAAAGTAATGTGTCCAGTGAGCTTAGCTGTAAATTGATTGCTTGTCCTTTGCAGAGCCAGCTGCTCTGCGGCATGACAGCGAGGCTGGGGGAGGTGGAAGTGTGAGAGCATTAACACATGAGGTGCGGGTTTCGGCAGGGGATTTTGAGCTGTGTGCTGTACTGGCAGGCCCTGTGGCTCTGAAGTGCAGAGCAGGGGAGCAGGAAGCTCACGTCTGAGTCAGGGGCAGCTTTTCTCTGCACTGCTCTTCTAATGTTGGGCATCTCCAAGGGATGGGAGAGGGATGAAGGGGGAGACAAACTGCTTTGCTTTATTATTGACAGTGTCTGCCTGTGGTCTTTTAATATGCTAATGGACCTGACACTAGACCACTGCTGTCACTGCTTTAATGGAGGCAAATGCGTCTGATAGCTAAGCAGCAAGAAACAGCCCAGCCAGTGGTCATGGGACAGGTGGTAGGATATCTGAGTCACTCCCTGCCCTGGGGACCTTGCCATTCCTGTTCAGAGCTACAGCCGGGCTCTGACGGTACAGCCCTGTCACCTAGTTCAGACCTGGAGTCACTGGAAAACGTGTTCTCCCTGGGGTCACCCAGCTGGGCAGCGCCTGACAGCAAGTCCCAGACTGCCGCTCTCAATAGCCTCTTGGTGCTGGGGAGAGGACAGCGGCTCTGCTGCGCTGGGGTCAGTGCCATGGGGCTGCAGCTGGGGACTCACGGCCCGAATACCAGAGAAGCTGGACAACCTCTCACAGGGCTATTTCTTTGTGCCCAGGACTCTGAGAACTGCTCCCTCTACCCGTCCGGCTCCCAGCAACTGCTCAGCCCGAGCAGCCCCTGCTCCTCGGCCTCCATCACCCCCCTGGCATCTCAGCACTGCCTCCAGCTCCTCCAGCAGCAGCCCCTCCGCCAGCAGCAGCAGACGCAGGTGGCTGTGGCTCAGGTACCCGTCCTGCCCTCCCCTCGCAGCCTCCTCGGGCAGCAGGGTGGCCCAGCCGGCTCCTGGTCTGCAGCCACCTCCCTGACTTCCCCCTCGGGCAGCGCAGGCCCTTCTCCTCTCTCTGCTCCAGCCCACGGCCTGGCGGCGCTGGGAGGCTGCGTGCCGGTCATCGCCAGTGCACGGAAAGCCAGGGCCGGGCATCCTGCGCCACAGGCGCATCAGGCTTGGGGGAGCTTATGGCACTGCGCAACCACCGCTCTCTTCTCCTAGCACATTCGGGCACAGAAATGGCTAAACACGTAAACCGAGGCCACTCGCACGGGATCGCAGAGGGACCCTCCACAGCCACCAGCTCCTTTCATTCCACTCTTGACAGCTGTCCCATATAGTGCCCCTTCCCCCAAAACAGCATCGGAGCAGGGATGCACCCAGGAGACCCTGGTGCCCAGCCAGCTCCTGCGCGTGGTCAGGCACCTCCCCATCCCCTCAACTCCTGCTCTTTAACCCCAGCTCATTTGATATTGCTTGCGGGCAATGAGCTCCCCCCACGCCAGACAGCCGTGGCGGGGGGTCTCTCTGTGGCCCCGGGGCAGGGGGACGCACCAAGCCCTGAGCTCTGTGGGGGCCGGTCTCACCTTAGGGGCTCACCCAGCCCCACGGGAGTCAGCGGGCGCGGGCTCACCGACCAGGGCCGTTGCAAAAAGTGTTTGCAAACGGGACGCCATGGGAGCAGAGCTGAGCTTGCACCCACACCCTGTGCTCGGGGCACAAGGGAGGAGGAGGAGGAGGAGGAGGGCTGGCTGATGCATTCATCGCAGCCTGGGAAGGCTGCTCCGGTGCTGCGTCAGCCCCCGGCCGCCCTCGCGCATCCGAGATTCCCCGCGGCTCTGACAGCTCCCCTGGGCTCCTGGAGGGCCCGCTCACACGAGGGTGCCCCCCCGCCGCCGCCCTGGCCCTGCGCCGGGCCCGCTGGCGCCAGGCCGTGCCCTGCAGCTCCCGCCCCGCAGGTGCAGCTGCTGAAGGACCAGCTGGCGGCCGGGACGGCGGGGCGCCTCCGGGGCC